AAGTCCAGATACTTGAAATAAAAGTTTCCTATTTGGAAAACACAAATTCAAAATATCCAAGATAGCTTTCGAGGCAAGAATATAGCCTTTGAGGCAGAAATTACTTGTACCAAGTCTAGTATCCCTTCGTAGGGACTTGTGAATACTAGCGCTCTCCCCGAGGATAAAGGGAAAGAAAAGAAGGTAATAGGAACCCCTTCACAGGGAAAACTTGAACCTATTACTGGTAATAAAGATATTCAAGATATCAAAAGAGAAGGTAGCTCTTCACAGAGCCAAACTCAATCTAAACTTTCTATTGAAAGGATAGATCCAAAAGATATTGTCAAGATATGCCATGAAGCAAAAATTTCCAGAAAAGATAACCATGAAGAAGTAACACTCTTTATTGTTATTTTCAATATTTTATCAGATTGGTATCTGGAGATTGGAAAGTGGATGAAGACTCTCCACTATTCAAAATACAACAAGATAAATTTTTATTCAGGAGCACCAGCCAACTGGGTACGAAATTGTTTTGAGATAGGAAATATACTTTGTATATATCCTAGCAAAGATCTCAAAGAGATAGCTCAGCTTCCAGTCAACATCAGGAAAGCTGTTAAAAGATATATTGAAGTCGTCAAGACAACAAATATATATATCAGATTCCATTCAGCAACCATGGAATGGGATCCCGTTCTTGAATATATACATCCATCGTTCCATATGATAAAAATGGGACTTACAAATCAACATTTTTTACCAACCAATCAAAAGGTTGTTAAAAATGGATATCAAGATATTCTAAATATGATGCCCTACAGAAGAGCAAAAGGATACACAGAGATATTTGAACATGTAACTTAGATAATTACTGAGAAAGAAAAAATATAGGTTTATCCATCCGAAAATCATATTATCTATTCCAATGCAAGGATGGCCACCAAGGAAGAAGATATTTGTTATCTCGATCATTTATTATCTGCAATTATTTCCAAGTGCATGTATTAGAAGATATGGCTAAAGAATTATGCAAATTACTTTGGAACTATAGTGATCACCATTGTGAATATGGTGTAGTTGAAGATATAAGTCAAGCATCCCTTAATGATGAAGAATTCTCTGCAGAATTCTTTGATTCGAAAATGGAAAAGTGATGGTGACAAAAGTAGCCCTTTATCACTACTTTAATAAAGAAATTTATTAAAGAAAAACTGTGGCTACTAAAAGATAGAAGATAGTGCAAGAAAAGATTCTATAATTGTGACTACTTCCCACCAATTGTCACAAATGGCAGAGAAACTCAAAAGATAAGGCATATAATTTCACAAGGAGAGGTCCACCTAGCAAGAAGATAATGAAAAATTCGGTAGAGATAAGATGGCCTAGGTACCCAACAAAGAAAGGTGGAAAACACCTGTTAAGATAAGATTCTCAATGACTTCTATAAAAGGAGGCAAGAAGGAAGAAGGAAGATATCTCGAAACAACTTATCTCTTAAACACTCTGAAGAAAACACATCTGAAAGATATATCTTTTGTAATCAGTATACACCACTTGTATTCAGAAAAATATTAGATAGCTTGAAGATAGTAAAGCGTGTAATAAGGTAATCACTTATGGAGTTCTAAACTTCATAAGGTGAGTATCAAAGGTATGTAAATATAGTTTGTAAGCATGTACGATTTCAGTTTATGAATATTAAAGTAAAGTTTGTTATATTCAACAAAGTTTTCATAAAAGGATTTCGTTAAATTTCTTATGATTCCTCGACAGTACAAATAGAGATTTTAAAAGATTTTCAAAATATTGATTTTGAATGGATGTTAGTCATGTCAAAGTACCCGTCTTTGAAGAATGGCTTAGGGGAAAAAAGGCAATTTTCTAACAAAATTGTAGCACCTTGTGTGTGAGTTATCTTTTAAAATTTCGTTCCAAGTAGGAATTTGATTCTGAAAAGAGTTTGGATAGAGGTGAAAACAGAGACTCTGGATACTGTGAGATAGCGTCTGTGGAAACACGACTAGTTTTCTAGAGTGAGAAATGCAACCTTAATTGAAAAGCCTTTTGCGGAAGCAGTTGTGGACCCAAATGATTTCAAAAAACATTTTAATCTTTACTTGATTCAGAAGATTGATTAAGTACATGCAAAGCATCTATAAGAGCATACTGGAGGGAAAGCCTGTTTACTTCCATTTGATTACTGCAAGTTATTCACTTATTCTTACATGCTTATGCTGTAATTATTCTGATGAACAATTCACAAGCACCCACATTTACTTTTAATAATGATAATAATCTCATATTATTTTTAGATGAAAAAGATGTTTCGTTTTTATTTAAATTAGTTGAAAAGTCTGAAGATATATTTCTTGTTGGCAAAGAAAAAATTAAAGAAATATATAGAGATATAGATTATAATTGTAAAAATAATATAGGATTTGATTCTGTAGGAACTAGTAGAGAAATAAGAAACGTAGAGGATATTATAACTAAACATAGAGATATACAAGAAGAAATTTCAGAAGGATTAGTTTGAGGATATATAACCAAGAAAGATTAGCCTAGGATCTTTAAAGAATTATCAAGATACAAAGAATATATAAAAGTGTTTGAAAGATTGAAAAATATAGATATAGGTCCTGATTAATAAATCCTTAAAGATACAAGATATATCTTGCAAATAATTATAGTAAGGGTAAAATAGTATTTCTTATAGAAAAGGCTATTGTGGAAAATTGGATCAATTATCCAGCCATTTTAAAAATTGCCCCCTCCAGATAATATTCTACTCTCTCTGCAGATTTCTTATTTCTTCTCTCTTTCTACTCTATCTCTCTCTACATATTTCTATTCTCTATCTACAGACCATTTTCGTCTCCTTCACCAGCGGCCATTTTCCTTAATTTGCTTTCTTTACATCGGCGGGTGCTAATCGTAGCGGCGATGGAATTTCATTTTCTTATTTCTTCTCTCACTTTCTTCTCTCTCTCTACAAATTTCTATTCTCTCTCTACAGACAATTTTCCTCTCCTTCACCGGCGGTCATCTTCCTTCACTCTGCTCTTCGCTGCGTGGCATTCTGAGCGCCGCTGTGCACGGCGGTGGAGATTGATTTTGTGGTTTATGGTGTTTTTTTATGTGTTTGTGGTGATTTTTGAGGTGTTTTGTGGTCGTCATCTTCCTTCACTCTGCTCTTCGCTGCGTGGCATTCTGAGCGCCGCTGTGCACGGCGGTGGAGATTGATTTTGTGGTTTATGGTGTTTTTTTTTATGTGTTTGTGGTGATTTTTGAGGCGTTTTGTGGTCATGGTGGCGGTGCTCACGTGTACGATTGATGGTTTTAAGTCTGGTATGTGGTGGATCGATGGTGGTGTAATTACAGTAGGTTTTATATTGTTGTTCGAAATTCAATTAAGGAATGGAGATGGAATGAAACAACATGAAAGAAGCCAAAGAAAATTGTGTGGAAACCAAACGGTGGAAGTATAAAAAATAAAAATGGAGTGTCACAATTTGTGCCATGCAGTCGCACGGCCATCTACCGAAAATAAAAGGCCTGTTTCGATGGCACCATGCTATCGCATGGTGTTTTCATGTGACCGTTGGGGAGTCGTTTTTTACCGTTTTAACTTCAAACTTGGTGGCTTTTAAACCTATTTTGGCATCATTTCGTGCACACTTGGTGATGGCCTATAAATAGGTGATATATCTAAAGCCAAATAATGTAACAAACATTTTGAGATCAATACTCATTCCAAAATCAAAGATCAAACCATTGATTGATATTCATACTCTATTTCTTTCTTCTATTCTTAAAGTTTTGGAGGATCGCACTTATACTTTGGTGCTAGATCCTTTATAATGCTTGTTATAATCCTACAAACCGTTTGTCAAGATCCTTAAGCATCTCATTCAATCCCGAGAGGAGGCAAATATAGTTTGAGGACATTGATTACGCGTTTGAGCCTTCCAATTTGTTCTTCTCAAATTTCTGGATATTAATTCAACTTGTGACTACATTTTCATTTTCTTGTCTCTTCTTCATTCCTCTATATATTTCCAACAATTTCAAACTATATTCTTCCTGCAATGGAGAACGAGACAACCATTAAACTTATGAATCAAGATCTTGTTCGATTGGATCGCTTTGACGGGACGAACTTCACACGGTGGCAAGACAAGTAAAAATTCCTATTAACAGCGTTGAAGACTTTTTATATCCTTAATCCAGAATTGGTGCCTTTGCTGGAACCCACAAATGAAGAGACTGAAGCAATCAAGGCTAAGAGACAAAAACGCCAAGAAGATGAATTGATTTGCCGCGGTCATATCTTGAATGCGTTGTCGGATCGCTTATATGATTTGTATACAAATACAACCTCGGCCAAGGAAATTTGGAACGCTTTGGAAAGTAAGTATAAGGCGGAAGAGGAAGGTACAAAGAAGTTTTTAATTTCTAAGTATTTTGATTTTAAATTCTTAGAAAATATTCCCGGCCAAGGAAATTTGGAACGCTTTGGAAAGTAAGTATAAGGCGGAAGAGGAAGGTACAAAGAAGTTTTTAATTTCTAAGTATTTTGATTTTAAATTCTTAGAAAGTATTCCCCTACAGTTAAACCTCGATAAAGTAATACCCTCGGGATCGGAAAAAAATATTCATTTAGCGAGATTATTTATTTATCGATAAATGAATAAATTATTCATTTATCGATAAATAAATATTTATTATTTTAGAGAGAGCTTTTCAATATAAAATATGTACATTGTATGTGGTAAGAAAAATCAAAAGACACTAATCAAAGTATTATTTGAATCTATGGAAGCTCAAAAATTTTAGTGAAACTTAATGTCTCTAAAAACTAAATTCACGTACATAGCAAATGAAAAGGTTTAGTCTTTACATATAAAAGCTAGATGTTTGGAAGATATATTCCAAGTACATACAATATTTTGTTTCCCCTCCAATGTCTTCTCATCATTTGAAAAGAGTAAAAAAAATCAAATTTGACCGATAAAATGAGGGGTGCAATATGTGAGCATAAGAAAGATCCAACTATTAGCCAAAAAGATATGCAAGCATGGGTGCAACAAAAGTTTGATTTGACTATTAGTCAATCAACAATATCGAACACTCTCAAAAGGGCGTTGGAATATTTGTCAAATGAGATGAAAAATAGCGATGTTAAAAGGCACAAATCGGCAAAATACCCTGATTTAAAGAAAGTTTTGTATGAATGGTTTCTTCAAAGGCAAGATAAAGTGAACATGTCTGGAGAAATTATCCAGGAAAAAGTAAAAGAGCTTTTGCAAAAAATATATGGTGAAACTAATCCAGAATTCAGCTTTTCTAGTGGATGGTTAGAACGTTTCAAGGCAAGATATGGAATTAAATCTTACCGACGTTTTGGTGAAAGTGGTTCAGTTATCATAGAGAACATTGAAAATGCTTTACCTGGAATACGATCAAAACTAGACCAGTTTCAGTTGAAGGATATTTACAATATGGATGAAACTGGATTATTTTATCGATTGGAACCTGATCATTCACTTGCTACCAAGCAGCTCGAAGGACGCAAAAAAGATAAGGAGAGAATTACTGTTGTTGTTTGTTCCAATGGTGATGGATTTGACAAAGTATCACTTTGGGTTATTGGTAAGTATGCAAATCCTAGGTGTTTTAAAAATGTGAACATGAACAATCTTAATTGCAAATATCGATCCTACAAGAAAGCTTGGATGACTGGCTTGCTTTTAAAGATTTTGTTGGTTGGTTTGTAAGAGAATGAATGGCAGGAAGGTTCTCTTAATAGTAGACAATTGCCCAGCTCATCCAAAGGTAGTTGAAGGCTTGAGAAATGTATAGTTATTTTTCTTACCTCCTAACACAACGTCTAAGATTCAACCATGTGATGCTGGATTATTCGAGCATTCAAAGCTCATTATTGTCATCATTTTTATTCTAGCATCTTACAAGGCCTTGAGGTTGAAGCACCAAATCCTGAAAAAATTGATATTTTGAATGCTATTAATTTTGCTAACATGGCTTAGAATTTTGATGTGAAGACAACAACAATTGCAAATTGTTTTCGGCATTGCAAGATTCGGTCAGAAGAAAACAATGTTCCCGAACCAGAAGTTGGTGAATTAGATGAAGGTATCCAAGAATTAAATGATGTCATCTCTAATTTACACTATAGAAATGTGATGGATGTTGAACATCTTTTGAACTATCATAGCGTGAATGATGCAGTTATGGAATCACCTACAGACGAAGAAATTATTCAATCGGTAATGAACTGTAATGATGATGAGAATGATCCTGAACCAGATGATAGTAACGTTGTCCCAAATATGTCGTCAAAAGAGGCATTTCAAGCAATAGTCACCTTAAGCAACTACTACAACACGAGCAAAATATTTCGGAAGTTGTGTATGCTCTACAAAAAGTTAAGGATGGGGTTCATTTTGGTTTAGGTGGGAAGAAAAAATAATCAACTATAGATGCATATTTTCAAAAGGAATGATTATTGTACGGGTATTATTGATTGATTGAAAGATTTTAGAGTGTATATATATATATTTTTTTTTTTCTCAATGAAATCCAGTAATTAATACTTTATATTTTTATTGGCCCTTAAGGATTCAATTTTTTTTATTACTTAATGCATTTAGCGAGGTTATTACTTTAGTCCATTGGCCCAAGTCGGGATCG